CCCCAAAACCCCAAAACCCCAAAACCCCAATAAACACGAGCTTAATTGAAACCCTGAAATATATTAAAAGGAACCAAGTGCCAAAAATGGAGAAAACAGGATTTAAGCCAAAGAAGTAAAAATAAGAAATTAACCAAAATTTAAAGTCCACCAATTACGTTAACTCCTCCAAGCTGGTTTTCTTCAAAGACTTGGCCAACTTTATATCGGGTTACTTCGCAGCCATAGACATATACTTCTTCAAGACTCAATCTTAAATCTGAAGAGCTTGCTAACCCTTGTACCAAGTTCTCGAACTCGTCGAAGTTGTTCTCCCAATCACTTCAATCCGAGTCTCCTGATCCTTCTAAATCTATTACCTGGATTTGGCAATTCTTCAGAGCCTTTGACAAATCAGGAACACTTGGGATAGATAGCCTGCAATGTGTCAACCACAAAGTTCTCACATGTCTGAAAGCTGCCACTAGCCTCTTGAGTTGGGGCAGGCCGATGCTGAATTGGCTAAAGTTAATTTCTCGAACGACTTTTGAGCTGAGTGTGGTCAGGGAGTTTAAGTAGTTGCACCTTTTCAGATCCATTTGGCCACTGGACCAAAAATGGAGTCTCTTAATTTTATCTGGGAATGAGGATTGTAAAAAATTTAAAACAAAACGTCTATTTTTAGAAGCAATCCTATCCAAACTAAGGTAATCTGTATCAAAAACCTTAAGACACTTCAAACTTTTCAACAGTTTGACATCTAAGATTTCGCCCAACCAAATTCGAAGTTCACTGTTTCTTGAAACTTCTTCGGAGTCTGGATCCGATGGCTCAATTTCTTGATCTGGACAAACCTTATAGAAGATGCTCTGGCTTGTGGTGACCTCTTGCTCCTTGGCTTCTGCCATGACAGACTTCTCTAGGCTGCACAATTAGAGGTGGACAGGGAGGTAGGTCAGTGTCAGAATCCTTCAGAAAGTTGGAGATGAAACGATGCTAATTGAGATTTTGAGAACTCCCAGATTTAAGTCTTTAGGAGAAATGTTATCTGTGGAGGTCCCAAATAAATCTAAGAGAGGCAAGGCTTATAAACTCTCTCTAGTTTTGCTATGAACTTCTCGGCCAAGAAATTTTGGGTGAAATTATTATAAAAGTTGGCAAATTTTGGTTAAACTTTAAAGTTTTGGGACTTGTTACAAATTTGAGAGTGAAAATTTAAAGTATTCTAAAACTAAGCTCTCAGTTACCTGATTATCTGGGTGTTCTCTTCTTCAATAGCTTTAGTAGTACTTTCCATTTTATTATTATAAAAACTTAATTTAAAATTTTATTTTTCAATATGTCTGCAGAGGAATGGGGTTTTGGGGTTTTGGGGTTTTGGGGTTT